GTCACTATCTTGTGTGCTTCATCTTTTGCAAGACATCACAACCACATTTGGTCAAATGATCGCCGATACAAGGTGTTGTTGATCAGTGAAAATGACAACGCTCTATTCTTTATTTGGTGAGCAACAGACTTCTCCTTTGGTAGTTTACCATTTTGGAGATAATCAATGAATGGTTGGCACCAATCATCCTCATCATTTACCACAAATGAAAACTCACCCAAAGAAGAAGGTTCATTCAAATTTTCAAAGTCAATAGGAGACAAAATTTGGCGATTTTGAACTTCTATTTGGATTGAACCCTTTCCAGGACATGACATTTCCTTAGCAAGCTTTGCTAGAACCTCCGCCGTAGCATTTTGACCACGCGGTATTCTAACCAAAGTTGCATTAGGAATTTGTTCAAACAATTTCATGGCATACGAGTGGTATTTAAGCAAGTTGGGTTTCAAAACTTTGTAGGTTCCCGCAACTTGGTTAATCACCAACTGTGAATCACCATAAATTTTGATATTTTTAATTTCCATTGATATTGCTAATTCTAAACCAGTTATCAGAGCTTCATATTCCGCCTCGTTATTTGTACAAGGGTCTGATAAACTGTAAGAATATCGCAATAGAGCTTTATCAGGTGTTATGAATATCAAACCAACTCCAGCCTTACGGGGGAGAAGACTTTGTGGTTCAGTACCTCTTTGGAAAGAGGCCGCACCATCAAAATACAACTCCCAAGCGGGGCTTTCATGGTCATCTAAATTCATTATTTGTTCATCAGGAAGATCATCATTCAAGGGAGATCCTGCCGGTATTGGGTGTGCTGCTAAGAAATCGGCAAAAGCTTGCCCATTTACATCACGTTGGGGAGTAAAAGTGATATCGAATTGAAGTAGTATCATGGCCCATCTAGATAAGCATCCTGAGAGTGTTGGACGAGTCATGAGGTATTGAAGGGGATTGACTTTAGAGATCAAATTGACTTTATGATAGAGCATGTAATCCCTAAGTTTTTGAACAGCAAAAATAAGGCATAAGCAATGCTTCTCAATGGAAGGGTAATTCATTTCAGTAGGAATTAGACGTCTGCTCAAGTAGTATAAAGCATTCTCTTTTCCTTCATTGTTGGTTTGGGCTAACAAAGCTCCAAGAGACTCATCTAAAGCTGCAGTGTAAAGAATTAATGGCCTCCATGGAATGGGAGCGGCCAAAATTGGAGGGGACAAAAGATAGTATTTTATACTATCAAAAGCTTTTTGGCAGCTATCATCCCAATAGAATTCTGAATCTTTCTTTGAAAGGGATGCAAAGGGTTGGCATCTACTGGACAAATTGGATATAAAGCGTCTTAGATATACCAACCTACCTTGGAAAGATCTTAATTGAGTAAGACTTCTAGGAGGTTTCATTTCTAATATCGCCTTGATTATAGTAGGGTCAATTTCAATACCACGGTGTCGAACAACAAACCCAAGAA